ATCGATAGGGAGATCGATTGAATGGGATCGAACGTGATATCAATAGTGAGATCGATCGAGCGAGATCGATAGTGTGATCGATCGAGTGAGATCGATTGTGAAAACGATTGTGGGGTCCATTGTGAGATCGATTGGGTGAGACGTTGGGTCTTCCCCCCCTTCAACTCTCTTACCATCCAGGGATTTCAGCTCAAGGCTTCTGTTGCACTGTTGTTCCTGGCCCCCCTCCCCCCACCAACCTCCTTATCACCCGCCGGGTGGTCGTGTAGGTAGTTCACGCCCGCGGAAGTCGACGGAAGTATAACGAGGCAGACGACGGCGGAAGGCTTGCATAATACATCGGAAGTAGATGACGTCCTTTCCGAAGCCGCTACCCCCACAGAAGCCTGGCAATGTAGTATTCTGCCGTCTGCCTGGCTGGATCCCGCCTAGATTAGGTCCCTCTAGTGGTACAGTTTTAGTTGAGCCCGGTCAAAATCCCACTCATCAGAAATAGCGAAAAACCAGCATCCTGGGTCATTCACGGATCCCGCCGTGCTGGGATCGGCTCGGCGTACGACGAAGTCCATCAGCTAAAGGACTCTTGCTGCGTTGGGGCCGTCTTGAAAGCATCTTCAAACGATGCGGGGCCATCTCTGGATCATTCGGGTCTCCTGGAGGTCGTCGTCGGTGGTCTGAGGTCCCGGCGGTACCATCTTGAGGTTATGGCGCCACACGGTCATTACGTTCATTTGCGAGTACGTCTTCGTGAAATGTTCCAAGGGCATGTATGCATGTGTGTATATATGTGTGTGTGCGTGTATGTATATAGCACAAGGGGCGCAATGGACATCATAAGATCTCAGCTCAGCTAAACTTGAACGGAATCCGAATGCAAATCCAATTTGACACCCCCGATCCAAGGTTTACAGGGTTACGGGGCCCACATTTAACATGAACGGAACAGTTCCCAGGTTCATTGATTGGAGCAGGATTCCAGAGCAAATCAATTTTAGGAAAATCGCAGGTGCCAGATTCACACGGCCTCAATCGGAATTCAATGGTTTTCGAATCGGTTTCTGGTAGGACTGGACCAGATCCAAGGTTGATGACATTTCAGTTGGATTTGATCTAGAGTTGATTTTCCCTTCCGTAGGAATAGAGTAGATGTCAGAAGTACACATTGTCAGTTGTATTTCAATCGCGCGCAAGCATAAATTCAATGATCCTGGCGAAGGACCCAACCATATGCAGTTGTGAGAACCGTTATTGTGAGTACCTTCTTCGGTGGCACTCCCTATTGGGCCACGAATCCACGAACCGTGCAACAGGTGTGCCGAATTGCGTGGCGGGGTACACAACACGAAAAAGACGACGGGTCTAATTACGAGAGGCTGAGCGCGGGCGAGTTTGATTGAGCGCGAGTGATTATGAGTGTGAATGAGTGTGCGCGCGAATGAGTATAGTTGCATGAAAACGATCATGGCTACGCCGAATGTAAATGCATATGAATGTGAATGGTTCGGGCACGCCTGACTCTGAACACTGGTGACACTGAGCGAGGCCGCCGCAGGGGGCTTCCCCCGGGAACCCCGACGGCAGCGCCCGCACGCCGCGACGCCCATGTCGGCAAGCCCCTCACGAGGATCGCGCCCGCTTTCTTCCCCTCCTTTCCTCGCTCTTTGCCCGGTCACTCCAAAGTCTGAGGCTGCGGGCGCAGCGCAGCGCGGAGTCTCGACGCGCGCCAGTCGCCCCGGAGGGGTCCCAGCGACGCGCGCGGGTCGTCCGTTGCGCGGAGAAAAGAGAGAGTTGGCTGGCAAGCTGACTACGGGCAAGGCTCCGGCCGTTGGGCAGAGCGACGACGGGTGAGCGAGGCGGTGGGCAGAGCGCAGCAGGGAGTTTCCGCGACGCGCCCGACATGTTACGTGGAACCGCGTGCGAACGCAGCCATTGGGGCCTCCGATGGAGCTCCCATGGGGCCACAAAGTGTGTGAGGGGTGTGCCGACATGGGGGTGGAAACGCATGCGAACGCCATTGGGGCCTTCGGTGGAGCTCCTCATGGGGCCACGAAGCGTGTGAGGAGTGCGCCGAAAAAGGGGGAAGGAACCGCATGCGAACGCAGCCACTGGGGCCTTCGGTGGAGCTCCAAAACGTGTGAGGGGTGTGCTGAAATTAAGGGGTGGTGTGCTGAAATGAGGGGGTGGAACCGCATGTCGGCACTGCCGCTGGGGTCTTCGGTGGAGCTCCCTAAGGGCCACGAAACGTGTGAGGGGTGTGCCGAAATTGGGGTGGAACCGCATGCCGGCGCTGCCGCTGAGGCTTTCGGTGGAGCTCCCTATGGGGCCACGAAGCGTGTGCGGGGTGTGCCGAAATTGGGGTGGAACCGCATGCCGGCGCTGCCGTTGAGGCCTTCGGTGGAGCTACCTATGGGGCCACGAAGCGTGTGCGGGGTGTGCCAAAATTGGGGTGGAACCGCATGCGGGCGCTGCCGTTAGGGCCTTTCGGTGGAGCTCCTAATGGGGCCACGAAAAGAACAGGGGTGTGCCGAAATTGGTGCCGATGATGGTGACGATAGCGGCGATGATGATGATGATGATGATGATGATGATGATGATGATGATGATGGCGACGTTGGTGATGATGACGATGATGCCGGTGATGAAGACGACGATGATGATGACGATGATGATAATGACGAGAATGATGGCGATGATGATGATGATGCTGATGATGACGATGGTGATGATGGTGATGATGATGATGAGAGGAGGAGGGAGGGGGCAGCGGGAGGAGTGAACGCGGGGCGTTGTTTCTTCAAAGCGAGGACCCAGCACCACAGGATGTTTCGGACAAACAACGTAGCTGAACTCATGTCATGCAAGCAAGAGTTTTATAGGTATGGCGCAACCCTCACCGGGATCGTAAGGATCAGGGCCATAAGCGGATCGTAAGGATCAGGGCCAAATGCCGCATATTGCAATATATGCGGTATGAGTTTTTTCTTTCTTTTTTATAAAGAAGGATGCACGTCTCACGGGTTTTGCCGGTGTCATGCCCGAAACACAAAAGGGTTGTTCGAAATGTGGAAAACTGAATGCATCATTCGCACGGTTTTTTTTTTTGTTTTTTTTATATCGAAAAAATAAAATGATCCGAGCACACGTAATGATAGGTTTCAAAGTGTGTAAAACACAGAAACGACCGTAACATTTTGTGCTGGCCTCGTGACCCAACCACGCAATGTCGCTTCATGGATGGCAACCAGAAAACGCACCTCCCACAAGGGTCGCGGTGATCATATGTCGACATGCACTAGTGCTCAAGGTGTACGACACGGAACGCAACCCTCCCAGGTTTTGTGGATGAAAAACAGATTGATGTTAATACCTTTTATAGAACATACACATTCCCCACATGGGTCGCAATGATCAGTTCTAAAAAAATCACACTAGGTTAACAAGCTTACATATTCTGGAGGTCGCACGGGGCCATTGCGAATCAACTTCGCATGTTCTAGATGGCGTCGGTGACCTGAGCACAGCAGCAATGAACATCTAAAGTTTTGGATTCCCCATGCCACTAAACCATATGGTTAAATTGCGTGGTTGCGTTTGCTTGTCATGCTTTCACAGAAACCAGCGTGTGTGTGATGTTGTTTGCGCCATGGTTATGTTTTGTTCACACCACGGGCGACATGGCAACGTCGACGTGGGCCCATCCAGAGCAAGAGCAGAGCTGTAGTACGAAACAAAAAAGGTAAACATTTTTGCTAGAAGCAAACGTTCTTGCAACATCTCCTGCGACAGTTCCAAGCACATTCAATTGGTGGAATCAGAGTTCAAGACCGTCGGCTTCAGTGTTTTGGGTTCCCACTTTCAATTGCCCCAGGTTCTTCTTTCTTATGAGGAAGTCACCCTGGTTTTCGGTCAGGCGGTCCCGTGCTCGTCGTCGCCGCCCAGTCGCCGCCCGTCGTCTGGGCCTGATTGTCGATCTGGCGGTTCCGTGCTCGCCGTCGCCGCCCAGTCGCCGCCTCGTCGCCGCCCTTCGTCTGGGCCTGATTGTCGGTCTGGCGGCTGGCGGCTCCGTGTTCACCATCGCCGCCACGTCGCCGCCTAAATTGCACAACGCAGAACTGACAGCATAGATTCTCCCCTTCCTAAAAAGAATATAGACTCCACCGGCCCCACCCTAAGAATTACCGTTCCCCTCAGGGACCCTGCAATTTACAAATGACTATGCCCCATCGTTCATTTTAAGTAATAATTCATACCATCCCAAGTAGTGCCGATATCGCCCCTTCTCCTCCATGTCAAATAGAAGCAGTTCTCGACCCACTCACTTTTCGGTGAAATGTTATTTTTTCCCGCCCGTGTAAGTGATCCCCCGTGCCCCTGAGAATTGAAACAAAAAGTGTCGTATCAGCGCCGGCTTCGTTCGTTTCAAAAGTTTGCAGCAGTTCAACATATGGAGGGCGCTTCCATTTCAGAATGTGGCCATCGCTTTAGCGTCGCGCACGTTCGTCTGAACAGCTAGCAACAGTTTTACGGATGGAGGGCGGGTCCTTTTTCAGAATGTAGTTATCGCTTGTGTTTCGCGCGCATTCGTCTGAACAGTTGGAAAGAGTGTCATTGATGGCGGGCGGGCTTTTCCAATTGTGGGGCTCGCCTTCGCGCCGCGCACGCTCGTTTCAAGATTCGAGTTTCACGTATGGCGGGCGGGTCCTTTTCAAAATGTGGCTCTCGCATGAGCGCCGCGCACATTCGTTTTCCAAAGATGCAACAGCTTCTCGGTTGGAGGGCGGGTCCTTTCTCAGACAGAATGTCGTTGTCGCCACCGCCACCACGACCATCATCATCACCACCACCGTCGTTACGTAGCCATTTGGGCTGAAGGCGGCTCGGCTCGTGCCTCACAGGTCAGACCACAGCCGCGGAGGCCACTTCACCACGTGCTCTGTGTAGCGGAATCGTTGCACCAGGAGTTCAGGGCCGATCGAGTTCTGAGCCAGTGAGGTACAAGCATGCCCTACACCAGCGAGGGAGGCGTAAGTGGTGGCGAGTCCGAAGGAGCTTTATGCATGCTCGAAGGGGCGTGGACCCAGGAGAGGGCGAACGTCCTCCAGAAGGGCGTCGACGACATCTTCCAGAGGAGAGCCGACAGCAGCGATCTGGGGCGATTGAAGTTTTCGTTCACCATCGCCGACCCTGGCATCGAGGGCTGCCCGCTGATCGGCTGCTCCGCCGGGTTCGTCGAGCTCTGCGGCTACAGCTTCGACGAGATCGTGGGGAGGAATTGCAAGTTCTTGGTCGACCCAGTGCCTCCAGAGCTGGTCGACTCGGGCGCGAGGCGCTTGGCGAGGGAGTTCTGCGCGGCCGTGGCCGAGGGCCGTGACTACCGGGTGCCCAGCGCGGACCGCAGGCCTTGGATGCCGGAGGGCAAGCCGCACGAGGACGGCATCTTCCTCGTGCAGACCAATGCGAGGAAGGACGGCTCTCTCTTCAGGAACATGTTCTACCTGAAGCCGATGGGAATCGAGGAGAGGAACTACATCGTGGGCCTGCAGACGTCGCTGGACGAAGGCGACGCCGAGGTGATGGCCGCGGCGCACGGTGCGTGCGAGACCCTCGACAAGAACATGATCGAGTTAGAGAAGCTACTTGCGGGCAAGTTCTGGATCTACACGTCGATGCGCAGACAAGTCAACGCGTGCGACGAGAGCTCATACGGCCTCGAGGCGCAGTAGCCATGGCGTTCGCGAGCAGCCCGGTGCGAGCAGGCCGCCGTGGCAGACTTGATGCCGCCGCTTGCGCGTCTATCCCCCGCTCCGTCCCAGCATCATCCCATTTGTTTTATTTCGGGCTGCCGTGCTCGCTCGTGGTTGTGCGGCAGAAAGGCCGCAGACCAGCCCCTCGAGATGGGCAAAGATACGAGCGGCGCTTGCTCCAGAACGAGGAGGAGCAAGAAGTCGTGGTAGTGATACTTTCCCAGATGTTCAGGGTTTCCCATGTTCCTTCCTGTTCCACATGGGATGCGGAAACGAGGGCCGCCTGATGTTCCAGAATCTTCAACGTCAGCATCGGTCCCGTCCGAAGCTCAGCTCCAGCTGCCCCCCGCTCAACCCGAGGCGGCTCGGTTTTAAAATAGTGCTGCGGGCCCGACGTCGGCGCGGGGAGGCGAGCAGGGACCCACGAGGAGGAGGAGGAGGAGGAGGAGGAGGAGGAGGAGGAGGAGGAGGACTTTTGAGTCGGCTGCGCACGTGGAGTGCGGGTTGCTCCAGGGATCGGGCGTCCTTTCTCGTTTGGAGATCGGGGGCGCACAAGACGCTTGATCGTCTGCAGCGGCAGCAAGGGCTGACGGCAGCAGCGGGGCCCTGCGGGTTGCTTGGTGGACCCCCATCTTTGAAGTGATCGAGGGGTTGGATGGGGGAGAAGGAGGTGTGAGGGACGGTACGCAAGCTACACCTGGATTCCACTCGGGCTGCAGCAAAGGCTTGCCCAACACAAGAGTGACGCTTATTCGATCAAGCCTCCCTCGAAGGCTGCCGCATCACGTGTGCTTGTCGGTTGTGTTGCTCCATTGGATTTACCATTGGATCTACCCCACCATGGCCACCGATATAGTTTTTAAATGCGACGACGTGTTAATAGGGTACGGTTTCCCTGCGAGCAATGAGTAATACATTGGGTTCGAGTGAAAAAGCATCGCCAACATCATCGTCGACGTTACCATCACCACATCGCCCGCCCGAGTCATGGATCTGCATGAGCAGGGCCCGCGAGCCACTGGGCCATTAGAGATCCGTGAGCGAGTTCCGATGGGAAACTGCGCTCACGGCCTACCGTCAAGACGTTGAAGTAAGGAACAGCTTGGATTCCGACGGGGCTGGATTCTCCCTGGGTCTTTCCGTGGCTGTTCCTCCAGCCCTCCTCGTGGGCGAAGGCAGTTCTGGGGCCTCAGAGTGGCCTAAGATACGATCGGCCCTGCTGGCGACGGGGGCGCGGCCGCAGCCCCAGAAGCCGCCGGCCCGGGGCCTGGGGCGCGTGTCCGGGCCCTGCGCCTCGTCTACGGGCGCGGGCCTGTATGAGGCGGGCGGTGGCGCTGATGCCGGGACTAGCTGGCCGAGCCGCGAGAAAAAAAACAAAATAAAAAACAAGAAACAGTTCCTTATTTCAGCGGCCCGGCTGTGATCGAGTTCTGCCAGCAGGTTGCGGCTGGGCGGGTCGGACGTGGGCTCTCGAGCATGGGAGGTGGCCACGCGCGGCTGCCCACAGAGAGCTGTTTTTTTACGACGTATTGGCATATCCACCCTCGCGAGGCTGGACTTCTGCAGGATCGTGCATCCTCAGCATCACTCAAAGCATCCATCTCCGTCAGGCTGGCATCGCCCCCAAAAGCGCCGTGCCTGGCAAAGAGCCCAAGTCGGTGCACATGTGCTGATGTCGCAAGTGCGGCTTCGAAGAACCCTTTGTAACAGATGCCATTCGGGGCTCATGCGCGCGCCGCCGCCGCGCGCATGTCAAAACCGTTAGGCGTGCAACAGTTTTCAAGCCATTCTCTTCCAACATCTATCAACATTCGCTGGTTGCCTCCACATATGCGCGCATTCGCTGACATCATAGGAAAACGGGTGGCGCTTGGCGACTCCACCCGATGAGACCAGGCGGGCCACACGCGTGTGCACGTCGAAGACATCTGGCAATCATCGCACACCCGCCGGCTCTGTCAACTGCTATCCTGCAGAGCTACACGCGCGGGCCTCCGAACACGCACGTCGGAGTAGATCCGAACAGTGTGTTCTATGTCAGCCAGTAGGCTGTCGAACACATGCGAACGCCGTTGGGCCTCCCCGGAAAAGCATGACATCAGTTCCGAATGTCTGCGCGCGCACCTCATCATCCTCACCAGCACCAGCGATACCATTATCGCCAGCGCCATAATTCTCATCATCATCATCATCATTCTCATCATCAGCATCATCAGCAGCATCATAACCATCGTCATCACCATAGTCATCATCACCAGCATCAGCAGCATCATCATGATCATCACCATCGTCGTCGTCATCATCAGCATAATAATATCCGTCGTCATCGTCTTCGTCATTGTCGATGCCGTCCTCGTCATCATCGCCACCGCCAACATCATCTTCATCATCACCGTCGTCGTCGCAGACGTAGTCGCCACCATCATCTCTCGCCCGCCTGCGCCATGAATCTGCTGAGTAGGGTCCGCACGTAGCTGCGCCTGTTGAGATGTGCCAGCGAGTTCCGATGGGTAACGTCACACACGCCCATTTTGGTTTTGGCATCAAGCTGCGGGCGGATGGTTGGAATGTTAACACGAGCATTGGAGGTGGTCACGCGCGGATGCGGTCAAAATTACTTGCACCACATCGGTAGCGTTGCTTAGCGTTCCCACTTCCAGAGTACACGCGTTCATTTTTCTGGCGTCCGCGCTGGTACACACTGTTTCGAGTGTGTGTGTGTGTGCGTGTGTGTTTGAAACTCGTGTTTGCGAACCCGTGGTGCATTTCCTTTTGGGCGGCCCCAAACGACAGGGTGGTGCGGTAGCAAATCATGGGAGCCTCATGTGTCCTCGTGATCTCTTTTTTGAATGCGTTTCTTGCGCCAGCGCCTTGTTCGATGAGAAAGTGCCGATTTAGCGTCGACTAGCTTCGACTTAGCGTCGCTTAGCTTTCATTTAGCGCCGAGTCGCGTCGACCAGCGTCGATTCGATAGAGCCAGCAAGATGGCATCGTGGGCCCCCCGCGAGTTGCCGCAGAAACCGCGTTGGCGTCTCCCGGGGCGTCGCCAATCCTCGACCCAGAAAAAATATCGGGGATTTGCTGACCCGGGTCAATCCAGACCCGGGCCACTCGAGCCTTGCAGGATCCTGCAGGCCCCTGCAGGATCCTGCACCCAAACCCAGGTCAACGCGAAGGATCCTGCAAGATCCTGCAGGATCCTGCACCCAAACCCGGGTCAGTGCGACCCTGGCCTCTGCAGGATCCTGCAAGATCGGGCGCTCTGGCTGACCCCCGTTTGAATTGACCCCCGCCTCAAGGCTCCCGTTGGTACAGGCGGCCCGGATTAGCATGTCGACCCTGCCAGATCAAGGGTACCTTCGTGTCTTGTGTCTTGCCACCCGTGCCTCCTGCATTTCTGTGCAACGTGGCCCTCGGAAGGGTCTTGTGTCCTCTCGAGTGTCCTCTCAAATCAAGTCCGACTGTACCGTGCATGGGTTTTCCGGCCCTCAGTGCCAACAAACGGCCGTGCAGCGTTCCTCGCCGGAGCAGGGCCTGGAGGGAACTCTGAACATGGCACGGCGCACGGGCGCCGTTCTCGTGGCTCCCTTGGGCCCCCCATGCAGAGCTCCCCGTCGGGCCTCCTGGGCGCCCCGTCGGGCTTCGAAAAAACGAGCCCGGAGCAGTCAGCAGGTCGCGCAAAGGGCCCCACCCCAATCGCAAGAATCCTGGATTTCCCCACGGTTTCAACGAGTTGCTAAGCTCCTTTTCTTCGGTCTTCTGGCCGTCCGGGGCCAGCCCCAAGACTCGCCAGAAGGGTTCGAAGACTACCTCGGGAAGCCGCAGGACTGCTGGGCAGGCCCCAGCAGAGCCCCAAGCTGGCTCAGCATGGCTCCGAGACGCCCCCTCGAGCACTCCACACTGCGACCCGGTCGTGGACGAAAAGCGCAGCTGGCGGCAGGAGACCCTTCCAGGGCCCTCGGAGGGCGGGCGGCCTCGCGAGGACACCGCGCAGGGCCGCGTGCTGCGCGAGCTGCAGGGCCACGTGGACCACCTGCGGCGGCTCACGGAGCACCGCGAACGGCACCGGCGCGGCGCGGACGGCGGCGGCCTCAGCTGGGCTCGGCGCGGGCACGGGTCGGCGGCGGCATCCGACTCCTGCCCTCGCCGATCGAGGGTTCGGGCAGCGCGATGGGCGGCGGGGGTGGGACTCGAAGCTCGTCTGCCATGCGGCGGAGTCTGAGCCCTGCCCGCGCCTCCCATCGATGCGGGAGGGCCGAGGGCCGGCAGGGGCAGGGGCCTCGGAGGTCGGCGCCCAGCCGAGGCGGGGCCAGGCATGGGCGTTCGCGAGCCGAGGTCTCCAAGGGAAGTGCAAGAGCCCTCGGAGGAGAAGGGGACCTCGGGGAGGTACGCCCCCGGGAAGCTGTGCGGACGCACCCCAAATCGAGGATGGACGCCCCCCCTATCATCTACACACATATATATATATATATATATTTACACATACGTATATATATATATGTATTTATATATACACATGTGTATGCACACTTACATCGATATGTATATATGCACAAACACACAAATGTATACATACATACATACATACATACATACATACATACATACATACATACATACATACATACATACATATATACATACATACATACATACATACATACATACATACATACAGACATGCATACATACATACATACATACATACATACATATATACATACATAAATACGTACATACATACATACATGCATGCATGCATGCATGCATACGTACAGACATATATATATATATATGTATAGAAGTACATGGAAATATGAATATGTACCCCCGAGTTGTGCCCCACATTTGAGATCCATTCGAAAACCCCACGAGGTCGGGGATAGACGTCGACACGTCCCCTGTTGTGGAGCGCCGCCGCGGCGACCCCCACCCGCCCATAAAGAGGCGCCCCCCGCCCGAGGTGCCCCCCCCCTCCTCCTCCTCCTCCTCCTCCTCCTCCTCCTCCTCCTCCTCCTCCTCCTCATCCTCCTCCTCCTCCTCCTCCTCCTCCTCCTCCTCCTCCTCCTCCTCCTCCTCCCTCTCCTCTCCTCCTCCTCCTCCTCCTCCTCCTCCTCCTCCTCCTCCTCCCGGGTGTCCCCTGCCTGTCGCGCCATCTTCTGTGGCCCCTGGAGCCCTCTCCAGGGCTCGTCACGAGCCCTCCGGCTCGGTTCGCTTCGGTTTCAAGGGCGCCCTCGCGGGCGCGCAGTTCTTCGCGCTCCGCGCCACGCGCTTCGGCCCCGACTCCTCCTCATCTTCTCCCCTGGGAGGCGGCGCGAGAGCGCGAAGTGGGGAGCCCTTGGATGTCGACGGCGTCAGATTCCGATCCGGTCCAGCTTCGGCTTCCGAGCTGGTCTCCGACTACTCTCGGTGAGACCCCGCTGCTCTGCCGACTTCCCGCCGATGCGACGCCTCCCGACCTGGCTGCCGATTTCCGCCGTTCCGATGCATCTCGATATCGCCGGTTCGGCTGGTCGATTCGATTCTGGGTGCTCCTGCCTCTGGGTCTCGCGAGGGATGCTCCAGAGCCCGTCTGGGCCTCGCGAGAGCTCTCTGCGGCGCCCCGAGCCAGGGCAGCCAGTCGCAGCACCCGACGCTGGTTCAACCGAGCAGGAAGGTGACCGCCACCCGCCATCCCCGCGGGGTCGCTGCAGGTACACATTCCTGCTTGTTCACATGTTCAGCCGGCTTCCCGTTGGCAGCAAACATCATGCGAGTCTGGCATGTTCTCGTAATTCCGTCTTTGGAGTGCACTAGCGTGCTTTCAGAGTCTGCTGTGATCGACTCAGCACCGACAAGCGTCGGTTAGCATCAATCTGGCGTCGGCCAGCGTCGATCAGCGTCCACTCGCAAGCTCCAACGAGATGGCATGGTATGCTCTCATGTCGGAAACCGGAGCATATACATTACCAGCGTCGTGCCCGTTTTCAATCCCAGGACTGGGTCGGGGACGACGTCGGGGTGGTGTGGTGTATGCTTTTTCTCCCGTTTCCCTCGGGAGACAGCGAAACATGTCTTCACCAGGATCCCGTATACGACCAGGATCCGCTTTCCTGTGCGAGTGTTAGTGCAAGGCCAGAGAACACGTCGGTGTATAGAGTTCTCCGATGTCTGTTCATGGGAGCCTTGGGCGGCGACACTGAAATCAGCTTTTCCTGCATGTGGGCCGTGCGGGGACCGCAGTTGGCCCCTCCTCCTGCTCCTCCTCTCCCCTCCTGTTCCCCGTCCTCGCTCTCCCAGCCCCCACGAATCCAGTCCAAGTCTGGTCCCAATCCGGTCCAAATTTGTGCCAAATCCGGTCCAAATCGGGCCCAAATTGGACAGTGCCGGGGCCACGCAGGCTCCCATGGAACAGACACCAAAGAGTTCGTTTCCCTATCATGAGTTGCCCCAGAACCCCCGCGGGTGAATCTGGGCCTCCATGATCCTCGAGCGCCCCAGCCCCCCCCTGCAGAGCTTCCCATGGGCCTCCCCTGTCCCCTCGGCGCCCCTGCTGCGCCTCGACAGAGACACGACCCGGGAGCTCGGGCGGCAGGGCGCCCAAACGGCCCCACCCCACGCGCAGGAAGCTCGGCTTTCCCCACGGTCCCAAGGATGTGCTGCGCTCGCTTCTTTCGCAGGCCTGGAGGTTGGCACCAACACCAAGATCGACGGTGTGCCTCCACCGAGGGAAGAAGGTCCCGACCTCGGTGACGGTGGTAATATGCCGGCTTCCAGGGTGACCGAATAATTGCCACCGACACCGGAATCTAGGATCATCTTCCCCACGTGGAGGCAACCCCCTGTCTTGGTGCTGGTGCCAATTTCTAGGCCACCAATTCTTCGGTCTTCTCGGCGTCCAGGGCCGCTCCAGAAGCCCCCCGAGATCGCCCCCGAGAGATTTGTCAACCAGGGCTTCGCGCGCGCTCGCTCCCTTTTGACTGCCTGCACTGCCTATACGCCACGCCGCCGCGCGCGTGGCTGCAGCGCCAGGAGGTGCGTACGTCTTCGTGGCGTGCTGTCTGCACGTAGCCTTGGCCCAAGGGAGGGGCGGGAGGGGCCCCGGCTCTCCCCGCGCGGCCGGCGCCCCCCGCGCGGCGCGGGGGCGCGGACATGGCCGGCGCGCGGGCTCGGGCCGTGCAGCTGGACCAGCTGCTCGGCAGCTACGTCCTGCAGCTGCCGCGCGGCCACCCCCTCCGCAGCACCGCGCGAGAGCTGCCCGCCGAGGCCTTCCGCCACCTCGTGGAGGCGGAGGTGGGCCCGCTGCAGGACCAGCGGCACCGTCGCGGGTGCTCACTATAACGGGTACTTTGGGAAGTTGCCGAAAGTTGCCACTTCAGGGCTTCTTTCCGGCATTGCAGCGTTGCCCACATCGGGGAGGACTGGGTTCGCCCGGTCACTGGCCAAAGTACCCGCTAGTGGAGTCCCCATTAGGAAGCGCTGACAGGACCCAGTTTCGCTTAGCCGATCCCCATCCCAACCAGGCCATGCTATCCCAACCCCACCTTTCCAGTACCCCAGTGGGGCATAGAGGCCCCTCAGCAGCCTAGATCCCCATCGGGGGGGGGCATGTCCTCGCAATTCCGACTTTGGAGTGCACTCGCGTGGGCTAGCGCGTGGTATGGTCGATGAAAGAGCGCCGACTTAGCGTCGACTCAGCGCAGACCAGCGTCGATTAGCGTCGATTCAGCGTTGTTCAGCGCCGTTCGGCGTCGATCTCGCTGCGGCCCGCAAGATGGCACGGTGGGCCCCCGCGCTGCAGGACGACGTCTTCTCCTGCCTGGTGGACCTGCTGCCACCGGCGGGCAACCCCAGCCGCGTGGACCTGAGGCGCTGGCCCCGGGCGGCAGAGCCTGCCGGCGCGGCCGCCGCGGGGGGGACGCCGGCGGCCGAGGAGGCGGGCGCCCGGGAGGAGCTGATGCGCCAGCTGGTGGAGGCTGCGCAGGCGCGCGGCATGACGCCCACGCAGCTGCTGCACCGCGTCGCGGCCGAGGAGGACAGGGCCACTGGGGAGGTGGGCATCGCCACGTTCGTGGCCGTCATGCGGCAGCTGGGCGTGGCCGACGCGGGCCGAGACGCGGCGGCCATGGCGCTGCTCCGGCGCGCGGTCGGGCCATCTGGCACGTCGGTTCCGTACAGGCGCTGGCTCCTGCCGCACACGCTGCGCGGGATCACCGCCGCGGTTCCACCGCCGTCGCTGGTGTCGCGCGCCGAGCAGCTGCGGCCCGTCGGCTTGCTGGCGCCGCCGCCCCGGAGTAGCAGGCCGCCTTCTGCGACGAGATTCGACGAGGAGGAGCGCCTCATCCGACCGCCAGGTGATGCGACAGGCACCGATGAGGTTGACGGGCACCTGCGGCCACTGCGGAGCGCTGGTCGAGAGGTGACCGCCTTCTTGCGGCAGGTGGTCCTCGACATCGTCAGCAATGCGGCCACGGAGGGGATGGAGAAGCAGGCCGCGGGGAGAATGCAAAACAGGTTCGCTGGGCGCCAGATCGTTCGCAACGAGCTAACTGCAGAACCACTGGTTTCGCGCACCTTCCGCCGCGCCCCCGCCATGCGCAGCCTCGTGGCCAGCTGCTCGCTCGGCCGCCTGCTCTTCCTGGAACGCGGGCAGATCTTGCAGCAAGTCGACATCACTTCTGGCAGGCTTCTGCCGGAGGAAAACATCGGCCAAGCAATACCTCATCGGGCCTCCGTGGTTCTCGCCATCGCGCTCGACGACGCAGGAGGCCGGCTGGCAGCCATAGATGAGGATTGGACGTTGACCTTGTGGGCGATGTGCCGGGCTGGCGACGAAACCGAAAGCGCGTTTGGTGCCCACGTCGCGCGCAGGCAGCTGCCCAGAGAGTCCAGGCTGTGTGCCAAGGCCCACGGCATCTTCCAGCTGCGCCAGTACCACGCCCTGGGCATGGCGCAGTCGCTGCTGACGTTCGTGGAGGCGCCCGTGCGCTGCTACTGCCTGAACATGTCCTGGGTGGGCAAGCTGTGGCTCTCGCGGGCAATATCTCTCTCTCTCTCTCTCTCTCTCTATATATATATACATACATACATATCCGTCCCCGCGGCCTCGCGGGCCGGGTGCCTGGGCCGCGACCCCGCGCACACGTGGCGCTTTTCTCGCGGATGCCCTCCGCGGACCGCATGCCCGTGCGACCGCGCGTCCGCGACACACGCGCCCCGGCAATCCAGACGTCGCGAGGGCGCGGCGCCGCGGCTCCGCCCTTCCGCCCGCGAGGCTCCTCGACGCCGCGGCGCTGTCGAGGCTGCGCGAGCTCGACCTCGGGGGCGGGCCCTCCGAGCTGGGCGCCGGCGTCGGGAGGCCCGGGCTGTGGCCGGCGTGCGAGCGCCTGGACTTCCGCCGCGCCGGGGCGGCCGCGCTGGTGCTCAGAGCGTGAATTACCTACCCCGCTCTTCGCTTCCAGGCAAAACCAAGTCATACCACGCGCCTCCTCGTCAAGCGGCCTGACCAGTACAGGCCGTGGTTTGGCATCGCTTGGTATCTCTTGGAAGCGAGGGTGGTTAAAAGCGAGGTAGGTTTGTTTTCCCCCTAGGTGCCCCGCGCGCAGCTGGAGGGGGAGCTCCGCAGGCTGGGCCTCGACGGCGGGGAGGCGGCATCGGTGGCCGAAGGCCGGCTGGGCGGCGGAGTGGCCCTTCGCTCGAGTCGGTCGACTATAGACGTAGGAGAGTGGCCTTTCGCCAGAGTGACCTCTGGTGCGGGCACAGATGGGTCACCAGATGGCCGAAAATGAGGCAGTGGCAGCTGCTTGCGCGCCCAGGTTTGGTCCCCCGCTGCCCCCAAAAAGTCGCGCACCAAAGGTCACTCTTACCCAGGGTTACTCTTGCGTATGGCCGAGTCGGGCATGTCCCTCGTACAGAAGGAATATCCCAGAACAGTTCAGAACATTTTGCGGGGACGATGTCTCGACTCATGTTTGCTATAATCGGGCCTTTTTGTTGCTAGTGCTTCATGTTTCTGTTTGAGCCCGCCTGTAGGAGGACATGCCCGGCCTAACCCTTCGTTTACCTGGCCAGACGGGGTCAGAGTTGGTGGGGTCGGAGGATCACGCCGAATCGCCGTTGCATCGGCGTGGCGGCTTGTTTCATGTGGAGCCCGATGTTCTCCGCGCCGACGCATCGCCGATGCATCGCCGTTGTCGACGATGCATTCAACGATGCGGCGCGACGACCACGTCTGCTCGGACCCCATCTGGGAGGCCTCCAGCTGAGGATGCAATTCCTGGGACGTGAAGTTCAGGATTGGCGCTGGCAGAACCCTGGTCGAAAGCTGGCCTCCTATCGCGCAATCCCGGCTGATCCAGCTCGATCCCGCTTCATCTTGTTTGCTCCAGCTCACGCTGGCTCAGTCCCAGGCTTATCGGGCCGAACGAAAAGGGGGGGATAGGGAAAGGGGGGGGGTACGAAATCTTCTGCATGAAGCTGGTTTCGGCCCCGCCGCCGGGCCCATTCCTCGATACATGGGCGCCTTCCGGCGCCGGGAGGTGCTGGGAACATCAGCTACGCAAGCTGATCCTCTACCCGACCCTGTGCTATCCCCCCCTGTCGCCCCCCCCCGAGCTTGGTCCCAGGCCTCCCGGGAGTTGCTTCCTACCCTCGCTGGAGTGACCTCTGGTGCGGGCCCTTCGGGGGCCCAGCACCGCGGAGCGCGATGCGGCAGCAGCGGCCTGCGCGCTCGGGTGCGGTCCCTCCGCGCCCCCGGGAGCTGCGCGCACGTTTGTTCAGCCCGGATCATTGGATGGCTGCGGCCGCGGTCGGCAGCGACCGATCGGCACCCCAGATCGGTCGCGACCGACTTCGGAGCAAATCGGCCACGACCGACGTGGAACTCTGGAGCAGAAGCAGTGGCCACAGATCTCGTCGGCCGCGGCCGGCAGTCCCCTGCGCCCACTGGTCCGGGAGAGGGCCGCTCTCGCGCGCAGCCGAGCAGGGGTCGCGCACGGGGAGGCCGGGGAGTGCGACTTCGCGCGCCTGTGCCGGGCCCTCGACCGGGCGCGCTGCCCCGCGGAGCTGGCCCAGCAGGCGGCGCCGCGCGGCGGGCCGAGTCCACGCTCGTTGGCGCGTGCCTGCCACGCCCTCGCCGACAGGGCGGCGGTGGATGCCTTGTTGGAGCTGCAGGTGCTGGAGCACCGCGGGCTGCTCCTGGGGAACGCTGCAGGTCTGGTCGCAGTGTGGCTGGTGATCGGAGGAGGGCGACCCGAGGCTTGGAGCCGTCTGGGAGTCTGAGGTGGTTTTGGTTGGCAGGGAGGGCGGGCAGGTTCGTTTTTGTTCGGCCTGTGGGGGCCGCCGTCTTCGGGCCCGTCCAAAAGAATTGGTCGGTTTGAATGGTTACCCATAGCTACATGTATGTGTTACGATTGTTATAAGCGTGGCCGTCAAGTTAAGACATATTTACGCAGTTGTTTTGAAACGTTGGTAACCCTGCGAACGAGGATGGTTGGTGTTTTGTCTTCGTGGGGCTTGTGTTGAAAAAAAACATGCAATTGTTTTCGGGTGTGTCCCGATGTCCTCCTATAACATGTTCGAAGTCACAAACCTATTTGCGCAAAAGGTGCAGTACGATGCAAATTGAAAGTGTAATGCTCGTCCGCATAGGATTTCCATGCGCCATTTTTTGGGCTCAATCTTACTGGGTGATATTACGCGGCATCATGGCCGCCAAAAAAGAACAGGGCATTCAACATGTCAAAAGGGAGACGCCGACAAACAATCAGGCACACGACCAGCCAGGCCCCCCCCTGAGTCTCATTGTTTGAAGTCGCGTGCGGCATAGGTTGGATGGGAAACATTGTTTCAGGATGGAGAAGGTACGCAGTAATGTTATGTTCGTGCGCATGAGAACTCGGTATGGAGACGGAGTCATCCCGAACGAAGTGTTGGACCGAATCGCTAAAATAGCAAAGAATTGCTTCAATAACTCGGCCCTTCAGAATCTCGCGCGCACGGAATCCCCCATTTGGCACGCACGGGCGTAATAGGGTCGAGATTTTAATGATAATAGAACGTAGGGCTCTGCAGGCCAGTTACCTTGCTACGCTTGCGAAGCTAAGCTCGCAAACTACACTTGTGGGCTCACACGCATGGGGCAGCGTTTTTCTATTATGCAGAAGTTCCTGCTGCCGCAAGCGCAGCCCGAGCGGTTCGAAATAATCTCTCAAGGTGAAAAGCCCCCCCCCCCTGAAGAGGCCGTGCAAGTCTCGCCCTGGCTGCGTAAGGGCTTGTGATGCGGGCGTCGATTGGAAGGCGTTTCGATGCTAGTTCACCGCGGATTCTCGTGGGTGCGCAAGTTGACACAGGAAGCTGGCAATGCCGGTAAGCAGGGGCGCTCGCTGCGAAATCCGCTCTGCTCCGATGCCCAAGGCCGCATCCAGCGCCAGCCGTTTTTCCACGCGCGGGGGGCGGGGCCGACAGGCCGACGGTCGCTCGCGAGGCAACCCGCGCGGGCCCCTTCTTCCCCGAGGGTGCCGCGGGCTCGCGCGGCATGCGAAAGCGTGGTCGGGCGGTCTCGCCGACCTGATCTCCCCCGGCGATTTGCGGGACTTCTCGCGGCGACTAACCGCGCGGCGCGCGGCCGCAGGCGC